CATTACTTTTCTGGTTCGATTCTTAATTGTCTTTCATAAATTACAAGTCCATTACCAAATGTTACTTTGATATTGTATTCTCAATCATTGGCATAAAATGATGAGTCCCCCTATATTCATCAATTATAATATTTTTGTGATACTATTAACCATTTCCATGGACACAGAACAACCAAGTCTGTTTAATATGGGGGGTTTTAAGACTTGAAAAAGATTCCCAAGTGATCAAGTCAAGCTTTCTCCTCTTTTTTATTAGACATGAGAGATTCGTCTTAATTGATCAAATGTAGTTTTTTTCTTGTGTTGGAGTCTATTTTTCTAAGAAAGTAAGATTCCAAAATGGTTTCATTATTGCGTTTCCATAAGGTATGGTGAAAAATCAAACAGCAAAAGGAGTTTGGGATCTTATTTCTTTGGATGAAAGATTGAAATGAACAAATATTTGTCCAAAAAAAAAAAAAAACTTATCATTACATTATTCATTTAAATTAACAGGATTATATTTTTAAATGGCTGTTATAGTATATGTGTTATATGTAATCTCTATTCTTGTATTCTATCTAGATTAGGATTATTATTCCTTAATAGAACAAAAGACAGCTTTAGTCTCCAATTATTTTCATTTTAGTCCATTAAGTTTCAATTTTGTCATTTTGATCTTTAAAATTATCAATTTGAGTCAATTTGATCCTAAGTCTAACATTCGTCTACATTGATAACGAAAATATAGATAAAAGTCAATTTTAAAAGTATGCATTTTTTCGCCATTCTAGTTCCTCAAGTTTTATATTTTGTCGTTTTAGTCCTCAAAATTGTCAAATCGAATAAATTTATTCCTAGCTAAGATTGACAATTTTGATAATCAAAATGACAAAATTTAAAACTTGAGAAATTAGAATAACAAGAAACACATACTTTAAAAACCGAAACTATCTTTTATTCAAGGATAAAATATTTTTTCTGTTATCAATGTAAACGGACATTAATTAGGAATAAGACTAAATTGATTCAAATTGACAATTTTGAAAACTAAAATGACAAAACTAAAATTTAAGAGAGTAAAATAACAAAGAACGCATACTTTTTTTCTTAATATATAAGACTTTATTTACACTACATAAAGGAAACTTATACTTATATTTTATTATAATTAATAATATAGAGATTCTCTTCTTTTTTTTTCCCTCTCTTCATATAGTTATATTAATATGGTCTCAAATCTAGGTTCAATTGTTTGCTCTTACTCCCAACGTTTTCATCCGTAATATCTCGCATGTTTTGTATTATCTTCTTCCACCCACTATGTAGCCCGCACCCAGGTTGTGGAATCACATAAATCATCACGTATTGATCATCCTCTCTTTACCGCCTCATTGGACTTTCCACAAGCCTTCAAGCGATTACTTCAAATGAAAATTATTTTTTATGGAAAAACAATTTCAAAAAATGTTTTCTCCATAAAATATTTTTTTATGTTTGGTGGTGGTGGTGGTGGCGGTGATGGTGGTGGTGAAACAAAGGTGGAAGTGGATGTGGTGGCATGATGTTGGGGCAGAGGCAGTGATGATAGCGACGGGGATAACAGCAGTGGTCGTGGTGATGGTGGTGTGGTGTGGAGATGAGAGTGACGGTGGTAGTGTGGTGACATTAGTAAGACTGTGGTGTGGAGATGAGAGTGACGGTGGTAGTGTGGTGACATTAGTAAGACTTTAATCTGAAAAATATTTTCCGCTTTTTTAAAATGAAAAATATTTTTTACTCATATAGATTTGTTTTCTATTGATTATGAAAAATGTTTTCGTTGATTTTCATTTTTTATTATACTAAATACTAGAAAATACAAAAAATATTTTCCAAAAAACGTTTTTCACCCAAAAATAAAAAAGAAAAGCGTTAGCTTGTAGGATTACTTCCCCGTACCTACTTGCAAGGAAGAAAATGGCCAATCTATAAAATATCAAATCTTTTATTTGTACATAAATTAATTATGGGCTCAGTAACAATCTTTTTATATGTGTGTGACACCCACCAAAAGGTAGGACCTACTTTTGCCACTATCTCTGATTATCGGCAACTACAACCATCTATTATTTCTTTTGTCGACAATCACTTTTTACTAGTCCTGTCTATTTTTAAAATAAAATTTTAAAATATGAGTATATTAAACATGTTTTTATTTTATTTTATTTTTATAAAAAATAAACATAAACACATTTAATATTTTTTTATAAATAAATAACAATAAACTATAAACGTTATCCTACGACACTTAACATGTCATTTTAGAATAGGGTACTCAAAGATATTTTAATTTTATTTCTTAAATGTGAATTGAAATGTTGTCTAGAACTTGAAAAACCTCATTATAATTAAAGGGGCCACTAAGCATGATTCAAATCTTTATCTATTCATTTTTCATCAATTTCTTACTCAACTTGAGTTTCAACAAGTATGATTGAAATTTGAAAGTAGCTAACCTCCAAACAGGGTGAAGACTGCATATGTGCACTTCTATAGTGAAGTACACACTACACAATAAGAATAAGAATAATAAGTAAACTATGGATTGGTCTCAATAAAGATATAAAAGTTTCCCAAGTGGGATAAAACTTTACATCTTTTCCCACTATTATTATATACATGGTGACTCTAGGGTAAAACACCAAGGATCCAACATTAATTGCCTCTATTATTGAAGTACTCCTAATTAATAATATAATAAGGCTTCGTTTGGGAACATGTTTTTTTAGTAACTTTTTGACTTTTTTCCTAAAATATGATATTAAAAAAATAGCATGTTTTGGATGAGTTTTTGACTTTTTACGAAAAGATATGCAAAAAGTAAAAAGAAAAGAGAATCTTTAACTTTTTAGTATAGATTGTTAGCTTTTTGACTTTTTTAATAACTTTTTTGACTAAAAAAGCCACTCATAAGACCTCTAAGCCAAGATTGAAAAAATAATAATGGTATGTATAGAAAAAAATCAATTTATGTTTCAAACCCATTTTAATTGCAATGGGACAATGGACCAAACAAATAATTATGTTAAGTATAAGAGAATTTTAATTTATGTTCCAAATTCATTTTAATTGTAATGGGATGATGGACCAAACAAATAATACTGTTATGTGTAGAAAAAAAAAAATTTTAATTCATCTTCCAAACATTTTAATTGTAATGGGATGGTGAACTCGTTTAGTGTAATCTTTTACAAATTAAAAGTTGAATATAAAAGTATTTAATCAAACTTCTTAATAATTAATTTTAAATTTATTTAAATTATTTTTATGTCGTAAATTGCAAGTAAAATTGTACTAAACACATTGGCACATACTTTATGCAAAAAAAAATTAATAAAAAAAAAACCTATTATGTACCCTTCTAACCTACACTACAAGGCCACACCTTAAATGAATGATCACACATTAAATTTTCGAGAAATTATAAATAAAAAAATAAAAAAATTGGATTTGATCCCAAAAACAAATCAAATGCAAAATTTTTAATTGTTTTAATTTAAATCTTTTAACTTTAAAATGGTACTAATCCTAACAATCAGTTAGTTATATTGAATAGAATATAGACAATTTAGATAATTTAATCACTTTTTATTAGTGGTATTGGTGGCTTTGAACTAAGGAATGAATAAGTGGTGGCGGTGAGACAATTTAGATAATTTAATCACTTTTTATTAGTGGTATTGGTGGCTTTGAACTAAGGAATGAATAAGAGAGGTGATAGTGAGCTGGCGAAAGAGTTTAATGTTGGATGGAAAAAAGGAATGGAACGATAAGAGTGGGTTGGGGAAGGGAAGAGGTGGTGATAGATGACGGTATAGGTTGAAGATGGTTGTCAACAGTAATAAAGAGAAAAAAAAAAAAGTAATTAAATTTTCTAAATTGCCTTTTCTCCATTAGTTACAAGTAATGGATACAAATGAATTGTTAGAATTGATATCATTTTAAAAGTTGAGTTGAGCATTTGAAAAAATTAAAAAGTTAGAATTTGATTTGTTACTAGAATCAAACTCTGAAGTTTTTTTTTTTTTTTTCCTAAACTCGTTTGGATATTATAAATATACCCTATGAAATTTGTTAAAAATACATTTTTTCCCCTCACATTGTGAAAACTATAAATACTCATTTGTCAAAAAATTTCTTGCAACTCACAAAACAGAAAAAATAAAATAAAATAATTTCCAATACTCTCTAATATTAAAGTAAATCATCATACTACCCTATTTTTATTCACCTACCATCAAATTCCTCTATATATACACCATAATATTCTTCAATCTTTCCCGATGACACACTAAATATTTGTAAACAATTATAAAATGGTGTTGATCGATAGTGGAAGAGGGTGGTATGATGGTTAGAAAAAGTAGTGTTACTAGTTGAGAGACAATAGAGAATAAATTCACCCAAAAAGACAATAGAAAATAAGGAAGGTGAGATTGGAATTTTTTTTTAAAAATAATTGTAACTTCAAAAAAGTATATATAGATATTTTTGAAAAAAAAATATTTGTTGCTTATATATTTGACTTAACGATTGATTAACGGTGGACGTTTGTCATATGATTGAAAATATCGAGGGATGAAATGTAATTTTTTAAATATAATGTGGGAATTTGAATTTTTAATAAATCTAAAAGGGTTTATTTGTAATTTACTTAATTTTTGTTGGTACATATCTCTATAATTCCTAACTATACATAAAATATTGTTGTGGTAATTTCTTTTACTGACAAAAATATTGAGCTTCCTCTAGACATAAAAATATAATATATTAACAGAAAAAACATAGGTCATTTGGGTTTGATTGGTATGGCCAGGTCAAAGTCCACCTTCTTCAAATAACAAAAACAATGATGTATACAGATCTTTGTGCCAAAATATATAATTTTAAAAATAAATAAATAAATCCTTCTAAAAATAAATAAATAAATAATTAAAAAAATCTATAGATCCATATCTCTCTATTTAGATCCATATCTCTCCCTCATTATTCACTAATCTCTCTATGCATAATCTAATCTCTCTCTCCCTCTCTCTCTCTCTCCAATCCACATTGGATTTCACCATGGCTTTCTATACACACAAATCTACACTCTCTTCCAGTTGATGCTCACAAAAAATTATAGAGAGAGAAACTGAGGTATATCTATCTTATCTATCTCTAGAGAGATTTTCTATAAATTTCCAGAGAAAATCAAGGATTTTGGTGTTATACTTGTCTGTTTGGTGTAGTTGAGAGAGATAGATAGCAATGGTGATGACTAGTTCCAGAGTGAAGTTCTAGGGTTTGCTGTGTTGTTCTTGATTGAATGCTTTGCATACTGTAGAATTGAGCGCTCCAACTGTCTGGTTATGATGGAACGAGATTTGAACTATATATGGTAATCTAATTCTAGGTTTTGGTATAGAGATAGATATCCAAAAACAAAAATTGAATTTGAATTTGAAAAGGAAAAAAAAAATTATTTTAAAATACACACAATGATGTCGTCGGGAATAAATTTAGTGATGACTGTGATTGGATTTGCGGTGAGTACCATGTTCATCGTTTTCGTCTGCACGCGTCTCATTTGTGCTCGGATTCAATTGTATGCTTCCAGGCGGGCCTTTCCAACATCTTCTAGATCTGATCTTAGTATAGTAAGCTCTTGTTCATTCCTAATTCATCACTAATTTTATCTTTGTCAATTACTTCAATGCATTTTTATGTTTCAATCTTTTGGTAATTTGTGTTTGCTTAATTTACATCTAATTGCAATTTTCATTACTTTGATATATTATTTATTATGACCACTTCAAATTGTTATTTGTGAGTTTGAAGTTTGGATATTTATAACATGGTTTGATTGTTCTTCTATTAGGTGTAAATTAAGCAACCACTTATTGCTGGTTTGTACTTCAATCACTTTGTCAAAAATTGAGAAAAGCTTTTGTCTTTCTTCTTTTAAAAAAAAAAAATTAAAAAAAAAAAAAAAAAAAAAAACTGGTTTGTTGTTGTTTCTTATCTGTATGTCTTCACTCTTTTATTTCTCTTTTATATTGATATCATCGTCTAAGTGATTGTTCACTTTTCTATGGTACAGCTGGAACGGGGTATACATGGTCTTGAGCATCTTGTCGTAACCAACTTTCCGACAAAGAAATACAGTGATGTGTTTTTTTCCTCTTCGGAAGATGCTCAGTAAGTTGGTTTTTTGTAGTTGTTAATTTCCTTCCTCTGCTGGCGTTGCCAGGTTTGTGTTTCATACAACTTGTTTTCATTCATTTAGGGCAATTTGGTCCTTCTTGTAGAGGGATGAATGGCTTCAAATAGGATTTTTATGATTTTCTTGCAGGCATGTTTGGTTATTTTATTACAAACATGGACTGATTATTACTAGGGGAGTCAAGCAAGATGTGTGTGATGTTATAAACAAATTAATCAGAATGTTTTACCTTTATATTTTTAGTTTTAAGGTGTTTGATCATGGAGGACTAGGAAGAGAGATTAATAGGAACATGTTAAAGATGCATGGGGTCATGGTTCCACTAATTTGACGGTCTTCAATATGAGAAAAAAGAATAATTTTAGAGTGGAACTGCGGGAACTGTAGGTGTTCAAAGTGGAATGCTGAGGGCCCAATAGAATATTACAAAGTTTTTAAAGGTGAATGCGTATCTCGAGACGTTTTACCCCTTACGAGGTGAGGCGTAAGCCTCAGGGTGCTAAGGCGTAAGCATTTCAAATATTAAATGTTAATATTTAGTGAATAAATTAAATATTTTAAAATAGTAAAAAAATAAAAACAAAATTAAATATAAAGATGTAAATACTTTTCGCCTTAAGGCATTGAACATGTTACTGCATAGAAGGAAGTTTTCATTCATTGAAAGTAAAATTGATATTCTTAATTTTAGTGATTGAGTTTCTCACTTGACCATTAAATGCGTTTTTTCTTGATTGATCATTTATTTAATTTTTCTTGGAGAATACAGTTGCAAAAAGGGTTTTTTTTATTATTTTTTTTATTTTTTTATGTTTAAACAATCTAATAGACTAAGTTTAACAAAAGTCCAAGGCAATCTCTGCATGTGGATACTCTTCACATGCTTATGCACACAAAGCGCACCCAAGGCACATGTCTCAAAATGTGATGTGTAAACCTTTGGGGAGTAATGTCTAAAAATCAAAACCTTGATGCGTTTTACGTTAACCTCGAGGCAAGGCAAGCATTGAGGCAAGCCTTAGGAAAGCCTTTTAAAACTCTAAAATCTGGCACTGCGTATTGGTTGCAAGAAATTGCATAACACAGATGATGTACTTGACCTTACTATTAAAAAATTTAACTACAGATTGGTATCAACAAAATGAAAATGCATTTGCTAATTATTATCTTAGTCAAAGCATTGCATGTGAACAGAAGAACAAGGATGCTTATTCGCATTGAATTTCTTATAAAGACATTGGTTAGAAATCAGCAATGTACATTTAAATATAAAGGATGGACTACAGTTGGTGATATAGATTACTCTGAGTTGTGATTTGAGTAACTTAAATTTTGATGGTTCAGAGAAGAGTGATGATCTGGCATTCATTGGGTTTTACCGTGCATTTATTGTGTTCTTTTGTCAAAAGCTATGATGATAAGAACAACAGAGTCTTGTTCATTCAATCCTGGATGATAAAAGTATCGATGGTCTTGTTCTAGTAGCTATGGCTATCAGAACTGGTATCAATAGCCCTATTGGGTATGCAACACATTTAATAAAAATTAAGGTTTGATCGAAAAATGTAGGGTTGTTAGTAGTTGGAACAAATGCAGGGTGATATAATTTCACATATGCTTAGTGAAGGGAATTAAGTAGTGAACTTACTTCTTTGCTATTTAAGATATGATTACTGTAGCAACCATTACTTTGGATTACTTATTGCCTTAGAGACTTGTAAGCTTGCAGCAATGAGCCAATGATATTAAATTGTTACTTAACAGAAGAAAGTGATTTAATTGCCTTTAAGTTGAGAAAATATCTCAACAACTTTTCACGGCATGTATTGGAGGATACTGGTGAACATAAAAGGTTTTTTTTTTTTTCTTCTTTTTTGAGAGGTTTGGTTTTTAGGTGGCTTTAAAAGTGTGGTCCCTATAAGTGTTTTTCTTACCTAAAATAATTTCTCTTTCAAATTGCTTGTAAAAAGTAGTTGTCTGCTTTAGAATCCCAGTCATTGTGCAAGAGAGGGAAAGTGATTTTAAACCTTGGAGAAAACAAGCTGCCAATGAGAAGTCTCACAGAGAAGATATAACTGAATTACAAAAGATGATTCGGCAAAAAATTGAAACCTTGTGTGGATAGAATTACAGGGAGAGGAGCGTTGTAAGACAATTACAGTATCCTTTTAAGAAGCACAATGATATCTGGCCCCTGCTAAGTAGAAGAGAAGTTAAATATTTCAATTTATGCTAGCAGTACCCCTGTTACTGCTTTGTGGTCTATGAAGTACGGGTACGAGTATGTCAATACGGTAAAATCTAAAAAAAGTAGGGTACGGGTACGACTTGATACATTTGTAAAAAAATATTTATTTTTAATTTGGATTAATGCAAAAATTGATTCAATAGTTTAATTTGTTAAGATCCAACCTATAATTAACATTTAATGCAAAAAATAACGGTATAAATCAAAATCAAATATTATATATTAAATAACTTACAATCCATAGTTTAATTTTAAAATCATGCTAAACATAAAACTAAAAATAAAAAAGAAATCTAGTGAAAGGAATTTTATCTCAGTAGTAGAATAAAATATTATTTCAACCGAGGCATAGTATGGCTTGGGTATATACTAGTTACATCTAGGTATGCCAAAAATTAAGAAGAAAAAAATTAGATACGTGTTTCATGTACTTAGTACATATACATAAATATCATACGAAGTACCATACGTCGGTAAGTACTCCATACGGGTACGGCATGTTTGTCGAAAGACCCATGCTTCATAGTTTCTGGTGTACTCTTTCTCTCTCTCCTCTCTCTAAAATATATTGTAGATCTTATTTGGGATTTTATATCTGTTTGTTTGTGTATAATGTGATCACTTTTGTTTTTCTGGCAGATGATCATGTATCTGTTTTCTCTTTTCCAATAATGTCATTATGTATCTCAAGCAATTTCCTTCACCTAACATTTAATTCAACAACAATGCTTGTAAGAGTTTGACTCTGAGGGCCGAAGAAATTTTGTACGCTCTCAAAATGTGATGTGTAAACCCTGCATTAGTCAATCTTTTTGTAGTGTTTTCTGCCAAACATTGACATGTTTGTTAGTATGAGATGTTAAAAATGTCAATCCTTAATTGGATATCAATCCATACAACAAGTGAAAAGTCATGCTTGTCAAATGATTCTAGTTCATCCCAGATTTAGCTTCTGCTCACAACTAGGAATATGTGAAGATAAGTTGAAATATCTATTTAGTTAGTTTTTAATGGTCAATCTTTTCTTTCATTCCCAGTTCCCACCCACCCACTGAAGAAAATAAAAAAGGGTGGCCATGGTATTCAAAAGGTTAGACGTTAGGGAATAACAAGTTATGTTGAAATTCCTTCCATGTAGTTTATTTGGTCAATGTTGTCTTTTATTTATTTAATTAATAAATTGGAATCTGAACATCCCCATCATCTTTTTCTGTACCACAAATGCGTTTCCTTGTTAAAAGCGATTGCTTTGTACAGGTTTCTCTTGTTTTCATATTTGGTTACAATGCTAATTATTTCGCACTTGCGTAATAAAATGTTAATTATATTGCCTGTTCTTTAAGTATTCTAAGGTAAAGTCATTTTGTGGGGAAATGGTTGTGGATATTGGAAGAAACATGATTTCTGTGGAGGAATTTTATTGTACCTAAAGGAAATGCTAATAATTTGGAGGTAAATGCAGTTCTTTCCAAGAAATGGAAGTGGACGATTGGGGGGAAAAGTGACCGCAGTATGGACCTATTCTCAGAGCCAAATGAGGGGAATTGTGGGGACTCTGAGTCCGTTGATGTTGTGGGTTCCTAGGGATATGGCCTATGGAAGTTTCTCTGAGTGATACTATATCCTATAATAAGGTTATTTATGTGATGGTTGGCACTGCTTTAAGGGTGAAGTTTTAGGAATTGTTGGTTTGATTATGTTCCTCAAAGTTGTTACTCTGACATTGTAGGATTGGTTAGGGTAGAGTGATGTTAGTGGCTAATATCAGTATTAGTAAAGTGATTGTTCTATGCACTCTCCTCAATTCCCTGGTAAATTGTAGGATAAGGGGACATCATATGAAAGTCTTTTGGCCATCCTGTAAAGAATTAATTTGAACCCTAGTAGTGAAGATCATAGTTGTCAAATCGGGATTCGTATCGTGAATCGAAATGGTTTTGTACCGAATCACGAATCGAATCGAATCGTGAATCGTAAAGATTCGGTCACTTTTTCTAAATTACTTAAAAACATATATCTACACATTTAGATGTTAAATATATCTTATGAATATAAAATATTTAGACTTAAATCAATAAAAATGTTATTTTGAATAATAATCACGTAGTTTAATAGGTAAGAAATTAACAAAGGTTCCTATGTAAGATCACCATATTACCTTTTTTTTTTTTTTAGATATTTCTTATCAACCATTCTTAATAAAAATGTAATATCACCATCTTGTTTTTTTTCTTTTTTAGATATTTCTTATCAGCCATTCTTAATAAAGATAGTAACTAAATAGATAAACTATCAATTTCCAAAGTAACAATAATTAACAATGTTGATATTTGGACAATAAATATATATACTTTTCTAAGTAACAGGGAGCAAATACTAAGAATGAATTATTTAGAATCTTTTATTTTAAAGCCTAAAACATTTTAAAAAGTATAACTGACCTCACACATGTAATATTCAATTTAATAAAATAGTAATACATAATTCATAGTGTAACTTTAATCTTAAACATCTTTAGAAGTTATATTATGATTTTTTAAAAGGAAAAAAATAATGAGAAGAAAAGTTAAAAATATGTTGGGTTTGATTAAATCTAATTGGATTCTATTAAAAACTCCATGATCACTAAAATAATAATAAATCAAGTATATATGTTGGCTATTTTGGTATTAAACGCTATTAAAAGTTGTATTATGCCATTTTTACTAAAAAGATGGAGAAAAAAATAGTCGAACATATGTCGTACACAATAATATAAAAAATTGCATGAATCGTAAAAAGTGAATCGAATCGTGAATCGATTGTGAATCGTGCGATTCACTAGAGATTCACTTCCAAAATAGATTCACCTATAGATTCGTATCGATTTTGTAAAAATCGCGAATCGAATCGCAAATCGTAAGATTCTGATAACAGAAGTGAAGATGACGAGACATGACCTCATTGTCCCTCAGGAAGATTTTCTCTTTTTTGCTTCATTAGTTCAGGGAAGCTTCTTTCCAATTAGTTTCATGTTTCTGTAATTTGATTGCAATTTGTGTTTATCTTTCAGTAAATCAGGTTCTGTGATTTGTAATTTGAAATTTTTTTTTTATGATGCATGTGCATGGACAAGATCCTCAAGATTGATATATAACTAAGTGCCAATGCTAGTGCATTGTTCTTCAGCACTGACATATTCTTTTTATTGTGGGACTTGATTTTGTCATCAATTCCATTACCAATCTATCTTACAATTTGTGTTCTGACAGAACTGCTTTAAATTTTGTGGCAGGTGCACGGTTTGCCTTGGTGAATATCACCAGGAAGATATATTGCGTATCCTTCCTTTTTGTGGGCACTCCTTTCATGCAGCCTGCATCGACAAATGGCTGCAGCAGCACTCAACATGCCCGGTTTGTAGAATTTCATTGCGTGAGTTTCCTGAGAAAAAGTGCATGCCACCAATGTTCAGTTCAGCTATCCAATCTCATTATGGCATGGAGTCCCTCGACACAAATTCTTGTCACTGTTTATCGGCCAACCCCGGCCTTTCATCAAGATCGCTTGTTGACCATAGGATGGAACCCATCCAAGAGAGTCCGTTTGCATCTCAGAATCGTGGATTTGAAGCCGGAGAGAGCATCTCCATCTTGATTGAGGGTAGTCAGACCGCAAAAGATTCGGGAAACAAACATGTGGAGAGCCCATCTAATACATAAATTCTTTGAATCCAAACTGCAAGATTGAGAATTTCGGATTGCTGCAAGATTGAAAATGGGTGCATTTTAAAAGTTTGAACTGAATTCACCAAGATTGTGATTGTTTTCCCTAGTGGTTGGTTGTACATATGGCACCGCAATTTTTTTCCCCTTTTTATATTTTATTATTTGTTTATTTTTCTGTTCTTTTTCTATTAGAGAGCTGGGTTTTGAGCAGTTTTGTTAATTCAGTTATATAAACCTGGGTAGCTGTAGTTCTCTCTCTCTCTCTCTCTCTCTCTCATGCACACAAACAAACACGTGCATTTGAGCTCATCCTTGAAGCTCCCCCACGGACTTGCTTGTAGAAATTGTTGTAGTTATCTTTCTGTGCATTGGTTGAATTATATAGCATTGGTCGGTTTCTCAACAAACAAAATTAAAAGATTCAGTTTGATACTGAAATCCTAACTGAAATTGAACTGATTACATTAATAATGTGATGTAATTTTTCATTCCTTTTTCTCCTCTTAAATAAAAATAAAAATTATGATTAGAGAAGAAGAAGAAAAAAAAAAAAAAAAAAAAAAAAGAATTGAACTGTTCAGAAGAATTTAAAATGAAAAAAAATAACCCAAAAAAAATATAATAATACAAATCCAAACAAAACAAAGCACACCTTGTGCTTTCTTACTTTCAGATAGAGACAAGAATCAGAAGATACAATAAATAAGCGAAAATGATGTGGTTGTGGAAAGGGAAATTTTTCGGAGTATGTACCATATGCATTGTGGTTATGGCTTTTGAGATATTTTATTATGATTTATTAGGAGTGTTAATTATGATTATGAGTTGATTATATATATTATGATGTTAGTTATGATTTATTGTGATTGTAATTATGATATTTATTTTAGTTATAATCTAAAATATTGTTTAACTATACCTTGTTTAGTATTGGATTATAATTTTGTTTACCACTTAGAAAACCAATGAGCAAACACGTAGACTTGTCTTTCCTAGGATTGGGTGTGGGTGTGCCAGGACTTATGGACCTAATTCAAGGTTAGGAATGTTTAGATATTTTTGATTTCTAACATAGAGAAATAAATGTCTGTGGCTCAAAAGAACTGTCACTAATTCGAATCTTGTCCTAATGAAAAAGACTTTTACTAAATTTGCTAGGTACAAAAGATAATTTAAACTTGCATTGATTGATAAATGAAGTATAATTAACTAATCTAAAGATAAATTGTATAAACAATTAATTGCATGGAATTGAATTGCTCGAATGAAAGATAAAAGCTGTAAGAAGCTCAGATAAAAATTATGAAAGCTAAGATAATTGTGTAGATAAATTCTTGGTTGAGCTATTGGTGCTGGACCTCTTTAACTGTTGCACTTAGAATCCTTTTTATAGTATTGAGGATACTTTCATTTTTGCTCAACTAGCAGCCTTTGCTTGTGCCATTTGTCCCATGATCCTTGGCTTGATCCTTGTAGGGAGGTTTGAGGTGAAGAGTAATTAAGAGAGTGATTAGAGAGACAAAACTATGTTAATAGTCCAACAAAGTCGGAATGGCCAGAGAAATAAATCAACAAAATCTGTGAAAGGTGGAGAACAAGTAGTTAGGTGAGGGTGGAGCAAGTGATTCAAGAAAAAGAGAATGGAAGTACACAAATGGGCAGTATCTCCCTAAGTCTCCAAAAATCCTTTCTTGGACCTTGGGAAATGGGTCATATTTATAGGATTTTCCTTAGCACCAAAGGAAGTAGCCAAATAAAGTAAGGACATGTGTCCCTAAGAATCACATGGAATATTTTGCCTTAGAGCACTAAGCTAAAGGTGCCACGTGTCCCTCTGCATGTACTATGTACTATTTGTTTGGCACAGATGCCTCAGCAAGTGTACTTGCGGCGGGAGTGTTTGCCACTGCAACCTATCTTCTCAGCTTGAACCTCAGCAAGTGCACATGCGGTGGTAATATTTATCGCTGCACTTGCCTTCTCAGCTCGGTTTAGCTAAGAGATGCATTTTCAAGACTTTATAGCCTGCTATTAGCTATGTTCGTATTCATCTTAGCAACGCCTCTACCCTTAGCCACCTAACCATAAACTCCCCAGCTTCATAAGGCGAAGACCACATCTAAGCCTACTATCAGCCATGATGTGCCTTAATACCAAGCCCGATGGGGCTTTCTTGGTCCTGCTTGTGCAACCAAGGCAGGTCCATGACCTATGTGGGTAAATAGGAAGAGAGTCCCTTGCTTTCGGGCTTCCTTTCTCCCATCTTTGCGGAGCCGTTGTGGTATACTGGGGTCTATAGGCTTGCTATCATCTCTAACCAATAAGCTTTGGGGCCTGCTATTAGTACCAAGCTAGTGAGCTTCGGTGCCTTCTATCAACCCTAGGCTAGTAATGCCTTGGAGCTTGCTATTAGCGCCAAGCATTAGCTTTTTACTTGTGAAGGGAAAGCTTCTCTCAAATGCTGCTATGACCTTGGTGGGGTGTTCCCTTCGTATGTTAATTGCGACGGTTGTAATTGCTGCGGTGGCTGTTTCTCGTGGCAAGTTCAAATGGTGACACCAACAATACTAGGGATAGCGACGCCGACAAAGTACCTCTGCAACTTGACCGTTGCAAGTATTGCCTCCGCAACTTAGTTGCTCCGATTTTCTTTTTTCCTTAGCAACTTCAAATGGCGGTACTGGCAATACTTGAGTTGTCGGCGCCGACAATACTAGGAATAGCGGCGCTAAGACAAAGTGTCTCGGCAACTTGACTGCTACAAGTGTTGCCTCTACAACTTGACTTAGACTTTTTTCTTCATGTAGCCTATTTGGACCTTTGGCGGGTTAGACCTATTCCGGCCCACTGTTGACTTACTTTCCTTAGGCTTTAGCTTACACTCCTTTAATCATTCTTGGTCACCTAACAAAGGCGACGTCTGCATTTAGGTCCATACTTAATGTTGACCTTAATTTCTTACCTTCTACATTTGCCCCCTGCCTACGTGGGGAACACATGCCTACTTTCCCGCGCATGCATGACATTAGTTGGCGGACCTGGGGTTGTGTTTGCTTGGTCAGAAGTTGTTTTGGTTTCTGCAGAGTCATATTGGTTATGAAAAAGTATGTTGACAGTGATGGGTCATGATGGTTCTAGGGAGACGTGCTGGTCCTACCTCCTTGATTTTTTTATGAATAAGACCCTTTGGGTCCACTACTCCCCCACTTTCGTCAAACTCCATTCTCTTGCCTCCTTGTCTCCCAAGCCTTTCCTTTCTCAAAGGTTTCTTTGCACTTTCCAAAGTCTTCGTTCTTTCTTTATACTTCTGCATGGCAAGCACTAGGTTTCTAGTCAACAAGTCTATCCCACCCCGTGTTAAGTGGGGAAGGGCTCCATACTTTGGGGGGGCTTGCTGACCCGTTCTAGACAGTTGTTGACGCTATTGTCCCTGATGCTCCTGCTCTAGAGGAACCCTTACTACCTTTTGGTAAGGCCTCTTTAGACGACGCCAGTATGATTAACCTCGCTTTTGCATTGCATTTTCAAGTTGAGCACAGTGACTTCCCTCACTCATACATATATTATCTCACCCATTCGGGCCCTTTGGTTGACTGCCCTCTTTGGGTAGATGACGTCATAGAGGATGATGACTTCGAACAATACTTCAACACTATTTTGATTTCGAGGAAGCTTTCTATGCGTAAAGTTCAAACCAACACAGATGTAACAGTTTCTCGCTGGAGTCGCGACACCCATACCTTTTCTCTTGCTTGGGGAAAAGTCACCTTGACCCTTGAAGACGTCTTAATTTTGCTACGTCTCAGCACTTGCGGCAAACCATGCTTTTGACCCTGCATTCCTAATAGCCGAGAAGTAGACCACTATCACTGCTCTTCAAACTGCCTTTTGTGAGGTAAGGAAGCATGGTTCTTGGTGTGACCCCAAGATTGGTGAGTTGCTTTTAGAGAGGCCGAAGAGAGATAAGACCACATACATCTCTTGGCTGAAGCACTTCTTCAAGGATGTCCAGCCAGTTGTTAGTGTCATTACTGAAAAGAATCGCAATTCCATAGTGGCCCGGGCTACTATGGCAACTTGTACTTGGCAGCATTTGTGAGGCACTTCATCTTCTTCTTTGTTCTGCCTAACAAAGTATCAACCCTTTGGTATTTCCCCTGGCCGTTAATTTTTGCAACAACACTCACATCACCCTGGCTCCCTTCTTCTTGGGAAATCTATATTTCTGTCTCGACCTTGTTCATTCGAACATGGAGAGGTCTGTGGACCGCTATGACGTGTGGAGTTTCGTACATACTCAGTTCCTGATTGCCTTCTTCTACGAGTGGTTTTCTGCCATGGGTCTTTTCCCTAAGGAATTTGAGCCTTTTTTTACTGACGAAGTCCTAGATACGGAGGGTAACCCTGTTCTGGATGCAAAGGAACAGGTGGTTACAAGGCAAGTGCACAACTCCCTCCCTAGGATTATTCGATGGTCTAGCGTCAGTTCTAACAGACCGTTCGTGGACTACATAGACTGTATAGATGAATGTGTGTTTCACCCTTTTACTCAAATCATTACGGGTGTTTCAATTGCCTCTTTTTATTTTTCAGAGGCTGGTCATGTGGATTTCTCTCTTGACAACATTCAGGCAAACTTCCTCTTTATAGCTACCATGATCCACCCTGGGTACTTACTGGTGTGGAACGAGAAGGACATGTAAAATGTAGTCTATCGACCTGACAGTGTCCTTAGACAGTTTGGCATGGATCAGGGTATTCTACATGCTTCTTCGCCTCAAACAAATTTCCATCAAAGTTGCTTGAGATTTGGGTGCGACCATACTAGCCTACTTATGGAGGGTCTGGCCCTCATGGAATTGCCTTCGCTTGGAAGGGAAAGTGTATTTACCCCTAATAACAGGCTCTTTTGACATCACAACCTTAATTCTTTCTTCAACTTATGCAATAATGATCCTATCATCCCTGCCATGGAACCTTTTGTCGTTTTAAGCTTCTATCTTCATCTATCTTAGAGGAACCTCACCCATCTGAGGTGAAAGCTATTCAACCCTTACAGGTCTCTCTCCCTCCTATCGGTACCATAGTGCACATGACTCGCTCGCGGTTGAGAGCGGCCCAAGAAGCAGTGGCTACAGTTGCGAAGGCTCGTGCCTTGCCAACTAGGAAGAGAGTGCGTAAGGTACCAATACTTAGAATATCTTCTGCATTTTTATACTCTCTTAAGCTTCCATCATTATGCTAACCGTTGCATTACTTTTACTTTTTCAAGGCCTACTTGTCTCGAAATGTGGCGATGTCTCAGCAATTCTACCTTCAGGCCTAGGGGGTCCATCAATAGCTATTGGACTTTCTTCAGATTCAGACGATGATAATCCCA